TGCTTTCAGAGGGGGGGGGGGTAGAGGGAGAGAGAATCCCAATCAGGTTCCATGCTGAGTCCCTGGTTCTATCTCACTGTTAGGGTGGTGGGGTGCTCTATCTCATCACTGTGACTTTGGGAAGTGAGCCAAAATCAAGAGTCCAATGAGGCTTAACAAATTGAGCCACCCAGGCACTCCTTAAAGAAAGTCATTCTTAAGGAAGATCCTGCTGTTTGAGAGACCTTTTAAGGAAGCTCTCTATACAATATGGAAAATTGACCACTAACTAGACGTTACTATAAATTTTCTATGCTGGGTACAGTTCATGTGACAAATTCATAATCACACAGACATCAGATAAAGGGAGATTTATCACTGTAAGATGAGAACAAAGACTTTAGAACCTTTTCTCCTTAGATAGAGGTGTCTTTTGAAGAAGGCTTTTCTGAGAAAAAGCAGAGTTAAGTCTAGGTGGAATTGTCACATCAGACTCCATTCAGTCTTTTCTTTACGCTAACTGGTTACCTGTTAGGGCAATAATTCTCAAAGTCCTGTAATAAAAAGATTATGATATTTGATATTCTATGGCTCATTCTATTCTATTTTACATAATTTCTGTGAGAATGAAATTCAGATACAGGATACAAATAAGCTTTCATTGCCATTGCCAGAAAAAAGTACATGGAAAACAAAGAAAGGTAATAAAATACATTAAGTCTGTTGATAAAGAGGATTATACCTGATGACCCTTAACAATAATGATACAGATGGAATGTGACAGGCAATCAGGCCTCCACATTTTTTTTAATATGATACATCAAGAGATTCTTCCCTCATAAAATCATCAATGCTGCTGACCATTTCAAACGGAAAAAGAAATAAATCCTGAACTCTGGATCCTATTAAATCCCATCTGACTAAACTCACTATTCAATTCTCACTTCTAGGAGGCTTTGAGTCAAATCAAGTTCCATTGCTTTGAAATTTTATACCTCTATACCTGATGATACAGAGCTACCTAAAAAAATGTGTGTGGGATTTAAATAAAGAGGAATGAGTGGTAATGAGGAAATCACTCCAGCTAGAATAAGACCTATGCTCTAATCTGTCAATGGCAATCAATCAATGTCAGATATTTTTTAAAACCTATTGTCATCTATTTCATATTTTTGCCATGAGATAATTGTTGAAATGTATTTCCTGGTTTTTGTTCAATATTGCATATCTTTCCACTCTGTTTTTTTTTCTCTATGAAATTGTTATATTATTAATAAGTATTTTCTAAAGCTTTTAAAAATTGTTTAAATAATTAAGTATAAATAATTAAGTATTACTTCTGGCTATAGTCACATACTACTTATCTTATAGCAATAAATTCAACTTTTCTTTAACCTGCCTAATTGCTAAGGTACACTTTCTGAATGAGTCAGAGTCCTATAGATGCAAACAACAGAAATAGGCTCCCAGTTGATTTACACAAAGAAAACACTGAAAGATATCAGCCCTCATTATCAGACAGTAAGGCTAAAGAACCAGACCCAAGGTATCCCTATTAGTCCAGGATCTGGGGATGACAGGAATAGTGTCATGGTGGCAAAAGTCTAGACTCTCACTCCTGGATTAGATGAATTCCTACCATTTTCTGTCTTTAATCTTCCTCCAAGATTTAAGTTCCAGGCAATAAGTGTTTCATTAACCTATTTTCAATCATATACTCAAATATTGGTTAAGAAACTGTAGGCATCCTGGAGTACAATCCTACCAGGCTAAACTAATAATAATAGTAATAATAATTATAATTATAATTCCTCTAAAAGGAATGTGGTGTCAAGAAGGGGAAATGAGGGGCACCTTGATGGATCATTCAGTTCAGTGTCTGACTCTTGATTTCGGCCCAGGTCATGATGAGATTAAGCCCCATGTTGGAGTCTGTGCTGACAGCTCAGAGCCTGCTTGGGATTCTCTCTCCCTCTCTCTCTGCCCCTCCCTCCCACTCATGCATGTGCACATGCGTGTGCACTTTCTCTCTCTCTCTCTCAAAATAAATAAACAAACATTTAAAAAATAAGGAGGGGAAATGAATGCTTGGCAGTCACAGATTTAAGATGCCCAACACACCATTCTTAACCATTTTCTGTAAACTGCCTTTCCTATTTTCAACTCATGGCTAAATGAAATAATTTTTTGCAGCCATTCTAAAAAATCAGGAAGCTCCTTATCATTTGCTTGATGGCCTCAGTAACTGAAGTATGGGAGGAGCTAAGTGGCTTTTATTCAAGCTGGAGTTCTGATCATGGAAAGCTCTAGGGTTCATGATACAGTCAGTTCACTAATGGAGTTTTCTCCCCATTGCTGAGTGGCAACACAATCAGTTGATTTGATGAAGTGGCTTGTTGTGCATCATGTTGAGTGTGAAAGGTATGAATGATGTCACCCAAAACAATATGATCAGCTATGCTTCATTCCTCTTTCATATCACCAGCTGACCAGTCGTCACCATGGACATGGCCTTCCTTCTCTTCTTTGCTGTCCTGTATTAATCCAGAATGTCCAGTTCATCCCACATTTTGACTCCCTCTGTTGCTTCCTTGTTCCTGCTGGTAACTTGCTTTCTCCACTTTGTTAATATCTACTCCTTCTCCTTCCTCTCCTCCTCTTCCTTCTTCTTCTTTAAGTAGGCTCCACACCCAACATAGGGCTTGAACTCATGACCCTGAGATCAAGAGTCACATGCTCTATGGACTGGGCCAGCTATGTGCCCCTTAACTATCTTCTTAGTAAGGAAATCCTGCCATCCTTTATTTTTATAGGGGGAACAGAAAACCTTAGAAAGGAGATGTGTGTGCAAAACGCTAAACTCAGGAGAACGCTGGCCAGTTAACAGTTTCAGACTCATCAAGGAGCAGAATGGGAGAAATACTTTAAAAGGTAATTACATTCTTTGCTTAGGTTTTTGGCAGAGTTGACAGTATTGAGAAATAGTCAAATTCAACCTGTGGAATAGCTTTAAGAAAAAAATAAAAATTTTGATTACATATTGATTTTTCTTAGGATAAGGAGAATGAGGTAGCCTCTTGTTTTGTTGATGAGCCAATTTTCTTATCCAGTCTGTTCATTGACACGATTCTATTGCTGATTGCTAACCCAATTATTTCATAAATGGTTAAGTTAGATTTTCAGAGGAGTATACTTGAAAGTTATCAGAAATAATCTGGACAAGCTTCTCTTCATTTTCTTTCTCAGTTCAAGTGCTAAGAAATAGTCCTAACAATAGTTTGAGGCATCATTAGATATGTATCTTTGTTTGGGCAGAGCATGTATGATTTGGTCTGGGAGTCTGAATTGCCCACAAATACTTCACTGAACTTTTCAGAGAGGTTAGCTACCCTCAAAGCTGAAGCAAAAGTTCATGTCATACTACCTTTATCAGTATCCCTGCAATCCCAGAAAGAGAAAACAGAAGAATGAGGACAGAAAGATGGGAGAGCCAGTCCAAGGATGACCTACCAGGACAACCTTCCAGTTTTGCTTCTTCCAAGACCCTGACAAAGCAGCCAAGCCATTCCCGCCGGCCCCAGACTCAGTACACTTTTCTCTCTCCATACTAGTCAACGACCATTGGTACTGCTCATGACACTGCCTACAGGGAGAATTTCCTTTCAAGCCTGTCCTTCCATCCCTGGGTGGGGCTGTAATGAGTAATCTATTTTTCTGCTGGCACTAATGTATGGTGAGAATTCATGTGTAAACTGGGCCTGTCATCTCTTCTCCTCTCACTTGGTCACAGGGGATCACTCCTTCTCTCTCACACCTCATGAGGCCCCAGATGTGAGTTGAGGGAAGTCCATTGATACAGCAGTGGCAGGTGCCATGAGAGTTTGAAATACATGGATATGTAATTTACTTGTGCCTTCTGGGCATGTTCAGGCTGGACCCCAATTTTTCATTTCTATCATAAGTCTACTAATACATCTACCAAACCTATCACTCATTGTGTCTGATAATAGCATAACAGCAGTTCTAGTTGTTTAGTCACCTGACGTTCCGTGATAGGGCACACAATTTCTACCAGCATCTAGTAAAATATCCAAAACCAATTTAATACCATTTGAGACCACTGTTGTTATCTCCTCTTCCTGAACCTCCTAAGTTGTATTGGCTCTGCCCATTTCAAAGCCTGATTCTCCAGCCTTTCTCCTAAACAATGAGTACCTGAATCCTTCTAGCAAATTCCTTTTATTTAAATTAAGCAGTCTGCTTTTGTTTCTTGCAACCAAAAATCTCTGACATATGAAAACTGTGTACTGGTCAGGCAGGTTAGGTAGTTATGTAGTGGTTAGTTCCTTCGTTCTGAATTATGTATTTTCACATTAGCATATGTTATCATCATGACATTATTTATTGATCTGCTACAGCAAAACATAAGAAAACTGAGTTCCCATTGTGCCAAAGAGAAAAAGCAGCTTGGGTCTCTTGCCTCTACAATAAAGCAAAGTAAAACACAACAACACTGTTTACATCTAATTTGATCCTAGACTTCCTTCTGTGGTTATTTCACATCCAATTCACACCACATTCAATGCTATGCATTTAACTAACCTAAGTGTGAAACTACATATCCACTCCTGAAATTCTGTTAATTTCATATAAAAGAATCAATTACAGGGGCCCCTGGGTGGCTGATTCAGTTGAGCAACTGACTCTTGATTTCAGCTTAAGTCATGATCTCATGGTTCGTGAGTTCAAGCCCCACATTGGGCTCCACCACTGACAATGCAGAGCCTGCTTGGGATTCTCTTTCTCTCTCTCACTCTCTCTCTCTGCCTCTCCCCTGCTTTTGTGTGTGTGCACTCTATCTCTCTCTCTCTCCCTCTCTCAAAATAAATAAATAAACTTAAAAAAAAAAGAATCAATTACAGGGATTTTTTATGCTTTAGTGAGAATTATATTTTTTGTATCTACTTAGATTAGGACATTAAAACTGAAAAAAATATCAATATCATTCTTAAACTCCTTTTTCCTCAAAACAACTTCCTGTAAACTAGTCAAAGAGATAGCCAGGTGGCTGGAGAACAGAAGTGAGAGGAGCACTTTTCAATGCATTCCTTTGAGGCTTTAAAATTTGGCATTATGTTGGGGCACCTGGCTGGCTCAGTGGGTTAACTCACAGTTTGTGAGTTTGAGCCCCGTATTGGGCTCTGTGCTGACTGCTCAGAGTCTGGAGCCTGCTTCAAATTCTGTGTCTCCCTCTCTCTGACCCTCCCCCATTCATGCTCTGTCTGTCTCTCTGTCTCAAAAATACATACACATTAAAAGAATTATAATAAAATAAAAATAAATAAAATTTGGCATTGTGTTAACAGATGTCAATTCAAAACATAAAATAAAACCATCAGCTTTCATAAAAGCAAGTAAATAATCCAATAAACTGTGCTGATGTATCTTTGTATGAAAGAATAATAAATATTTGGTAAAAATTATGTTTTTAGGCAACACTAAATGATAACATTTAGGGATGTACACCGGGTGGTAAAAATACAAACAAAAATAAAGAAATTATTACCATAAAAGTCATTGGGGCAATAAAATTTCAGCAGCAGTGGAGAGGGTTATGTTGAGGCTGAGAGAGGTGGTTCCTACAAGAGTGCTTACCTTACACTAATTGATTCTTTTATACAGTTTTCTGTATCTGTGTTGTATTTCACAATAGAAAACATTCTCAAGAAAACTCTTGTTTTTTGAAGGATTTTTTAATGGGTTGGGAAAATGCTCACAATATAAAATTCAGTGGAAAAAGGGCAGGTACACAATTCTGCAGATTCCACGTATGCATATGCACGGTGGATATTTGCAGAAATAGACATTACAATAAATATACCAAACGTGACTTGTATTTCATTTTTTTCTTATTTCATATAGCTGTTCTCTTGGCTTAAATGTACAACATCATAATTTGTAAGATAATATTACAGAAGTGAGGTGATAAATCTAACTTGCCAGGTAAGCACTGTGTTAACCCTTCTCCTTCTTCAGTTCCTATCAAGGTAGGCATTTAATAGGTTATAATCATAACATTTTAGAGCTAGAGAAAAATCATGAGATCATCTTCTCACATACCTCTATTTCTCAGAGGTAGAAACCAAACAGCAGCTAGGCTAACTTGGCCAAGGTCCAAGATTAGGTAGTCTTGGACCTGGGACAGGGCCCAGTTTCTCTGCTCCCTCTCACACTGATGTATGCGTTGCATGGAGGGTGAACGCAAAGCCTTGCTCTTTAAGAAAAGTTTTACTGACTTTCCCCAGAACGTGAGTATTATGAGAATTATCATTGAGCAATATTACCAATAAAATGTAAATTTGTAATGCAACAGCAAATGCTGAAAATTAACATTGGAGAAATTTTATTTTTGAATTTTTTAAAGAAAGCAACAACAATAACACATTCTGTGACTTCTAGAAGACCTGCTTGAATTCACTTATCTAACATGGTAATGGTAGCTTGTGACTGCAATAAAGTCCATCATTACTGCTTTTATTGCTATAAAAATGATAAAGCCTACACGGCAACTGCTTTCGATCATGCTTGTTTGGACAGGCTGCTTCTGACTTCCACCTCATTCGTACTTTAGCCCCACTTCTATGCCATGTAGACCCAAGCAGTTTGCACAAACACCACATGACCTCAACTGTACCTCCCAGAGAGAAGGAAAAAATAAATAAATAAAAGAGACAAATTACTAATCAATAGATTAAATAAATAAATAAATAAATAAATAAATAAATGAATAAGACAAATGCTAATTGCCACTCTGTTTCACCTAGTCTTCATGTTTTAAATTAGTTTTCAAAACGCTTCAAGTTTTAGTTCCTTGATATATAATATTCTAACTTTCCTCCCCACATTTTATTATTTTGTGAAAGATAATCTGTAACCTCTAACCTTCACTGAGCACCTACTACATGCCAGACACCATCCTCAGGGGTAGGAATATAGAAATAAATAAACGTCTCTTCCCTCAAGAAGCTCGCTATCTAGTGAAGAGGCAGCTACACAAATAAGCTGATGATGGCAACAAGATGTGGGTGGTACTATGTGGAAACCAGCGAATGTTCTGCTGATAGTTAACACAAGTGGGTGGCTCTACATTTCTATCCCTCTGTATAACATCTTAGAGCCACAGGATGAAACCAAGTGAAGCCCTACAGGTCCCAATCCCCAGTTCCTGTCAAGCTCATATAAGCAAACAGCTTTTCTGTCTGAATGTAGAAAACAAACACTATACTATACAAAAAAAAAAAAAAAAAAAAACACTAAATAAATCCCTCAGATAGAATTTCAAAGACTAGAGTGTAAAAAATGTACATGTTTTATCTCTACCTTTCCACGAAGTGGACAGAGAACTAATTCCATAAAGAAGGGGACTGTGAAAGACATTGTAATACACTAACCATCATCCAGGTCATTCCTTATGAACAGATTCTCAATTTTATTTGGGGCAATAATGTGTACAGCCCATAGTACTTTGTAAGATATTTACTATTCCAGACCCTTTTGCTGTTAAACATACCAATGTGGCACAGTTCTGCCAATGAGATTTCATGGAAATCTGTCAGGAGGCTTCTGAGACTTTTTCAATGCTTGTAAAAATAGCAATAAGAGAAGAACTTCCTTTTACTACTTCTTTCTGATTTGAAATCGGATGAGATGTTTGGAGCTGTGGCAACCACGGAGCAATGAGGTGGCAAGAATAAAGACAAAAGCCAGCATGCTAACGACACAGAGAAGAAAGAATCTGTATCCTTGGTAACATTTTAGGGGGGTTGGACTGTGGACTGCCTGCCCTCAATTTCTGTTAGGTAAACATTACATGTGTCTATGAGTTAAGCCATTTTAAAATGTTTATTATGTTACCTGCTGCTGAAAGCATTGCTAATACAGATAAATATCTAACTTGTTCATCTCTCTAACTTTAGTACTGAGAACAGCGGCTGACATGTAGTAAGTGGTCAAAGAATAGTTAATGAAAGAATAAAGAATGAATGGATTTTAGATCAGGTACCAAGCACCATACCTAAACTTGTGGGTGGTAAAGATATTGTACTTATTTTATATTGAATTTCTATCTTGAGTATAATTTCTCTAAAAATAAAATGTGCAATGCAAATTTTGTTTGCCTTACACTGCTTTATCCTTGCTAACAAAAGCTCAAATTTTTTTATCCTTCAGGACATTATTCAAGGGAGGACAGACCCTTCTTTGGTCCCAGGAAAATCAGTCTTATTTGATTCAAGCCAATTGTGCTAGTCTCATATCCTTTGCCTATGCCTGGGCATCGGAGACACCTGGAGCCAATGGGGCTGTTGAGTTTGTGCTGAAAAATCATAGCCTTATGGGGTTTCCCTTGTGCATAACAGTTGATTTTCTCTTGCTGCTCTTAAGATTCTGTCTTTATCTGGAATCTTTGACATCTTAATTATATGTATCTTGGTGTGGACCTCCTTGGGTTTGGGGTTTTTGGGGGGGTTTCCTTGTTTTTTCTTTTTATAGTATTTCTGCACTACCTGGACCTGGATTTGGTTTACTTCCCCAGGTTAGGGAAGTTTTTAGCTATTATTTCTTCAAATGATTTCTGCTACTTTCTCTCTCTCTTCTCTCTCTCTTCCTTCTGGAACCCCTATAAGGACAATGTTAGTAGACTTGATTTTGTCCCAGAGATCTTTTAATCTAACCTCATTTTCTTAATTCTTTTCTCTTCTCGCTGTTTAGCTTGGTTGCTTTCCAATACCCTGTCTTTCAGATCACTGGTCCATTCTTCTGTATCTTCTAATCTGCTGTTATTTCCCTCTCGTGTATTTTCCATTTCAATTATTGTATTCTTCAACCCTGAGTATCTTTATGATCATTATTTTGAAGCTTTTCTCAGGTAGATTGTTTATCTTCATTTTGTTGAGTTCTTTTTCTGGACTTTTGTTCTTTCATTTGGAGCACAGTCTTCTTATTTTGATTGACTTTCTGTGTTTGTTTCTATGAATTAAATGGAAAAGCACTTTTTCCTGTCTCAAAGGAGTGGCTTTGTGTAGGAATTTCCTTGGGTAGACTGCATATTCCTGGCTTTGGCTGGCTAGCTCGAGCTATAGCAGGCACAGGCTAAGGACCACAGGGCACTCTACACAGAGATGCCCTGGCAAGACAGATGAAGCTGAAGCAGGTACAGGCTAGAGCAAGGGGAGATCTCAGGGTATTCCATGCAGAGGGCTCCCTGGCAGGATGACTGAAACTGAAATAGGTGCAGACTGGATGGTCCTGGGGTGCTCCAAAGAGGGTTATCCTAGCAGGACACCTGGAGCTGAGATAAAGGGTCATGGGATACAGAGGGTATAGGGAGACTGGTAGGATAGCTAGAGCTGCAGTGGGTGGGTGATAGGAGGTTGCAGGGCACTCCATACAGAGGGTGCCCTGGTGGAGCTGAAGCAGACGTGGGCTAGGTATGTCTCAGGGTGCTTTGCACCTGTTGCCTTGGCCAGACAACTGGAGCTCCAGGGGTACTGTGCAGGGGTGTTCTGGTATGCACCATGCTAGGACCACCTTAGTGTTATGGCTGGAGCTTGGGCAGGTGTGTGGCCCTGGGGGGCCAGCTGGGGTGATATGGGCTAGGGGCCCAGGACTCACTGAAGTGGCAGGCAGGCTAGGATGCCCAGGCCCTGGTTCTGTCTATGCTATCAAGGTGGAGAAGTAGCATAAACAATGGTGCTTACCAGTCCCTCTGACTCTCAAGAGCAGTCCTCATGTCCCCTGCCATTTTAGACACTCAAGGGCTGGTGAGACCTTTAAATCATGGCTCTTTTTCTGTGCCCCAAGGAAGATGAATCTGCAAAGAGATTCCTCCATTACCATCTTGGACCCAAATTTTGTTTCTTCATACTGAAATGTCTTTTCTGCAAATTGTCACAGCAGTGGAAATGTCACTTTACTTCCAGGTAAACCACTGAATCATTAATCTTGTCCTTAGTCACTCAGTATCCCTAGTATTTTTGTGACTAATTAAGTGAAGAACTTCGGTTGAATAATATATATAATATAATATAATATAATATAATATAATATAATATAATATAATATA